AGTTTCGGATCGTTAAGGAGCTTGTATGATCTATTTGATGAGGGAACCGTCAAAAGTTTTTATTTTTATTTTTATTTTTTTTGAGACAGTTAGTTCTAAATAAGTTTTTATATGCCATGCCTAAAGATTTAGAGAAGGGAACTGTTGAAGGCTTTTAAGCAGGATCCATATGTTCTGGTTTTCCCAAACAGCTTCATTTGTATGCTAGCATAATTATTAATAATGTGCCATCTTTCACTCTTAATGGTAACCTGGTTTAAATAATGAATTATTGGTCACCTTCTAATGTGAAAGTATAGCAAGAGGAGATGGCCATGGGTGAGCCATTTAGAATATAAGTAATGAGGGGAAAAAAAGGAATCACTCCACAAAGGACAGGGTAGAAACAGAGAAATGGTCTTTACAAAAGCCAAGAGAGGATAGTTTTAATAGTATTAAGAAGCTGGAGTTTGTAAGGTCAGCTAAGTCAAATATAGCAAGCTTGTGGAGCATCAGTGCACATTATTAGATTTATCAACGCAGAGCCCATTTTACTTTAAACAATGCAATTCATTGGGGCCAGTGGGATAGATGCCACATTGGCTTGTTTCTTTGAGAATAAGGATTATGCCTTATTTATTTTTGTATCCCTAGTGTCTAACAGTGGTCATCATGTGGGAGGTATTTGGTGCATTTTTGAAGAATTAATAATTTATTAATAGTTGGTGAGAAAGCTGAGATAGTGGATATAGATACCATACTTTAAAAAAAATTGGTGATTATAGAGAGACGAAAAATAAGATGTTTGTAGTTTGGCAGCAGTTAGAAAGGAAACATCTCATGTTAAAATGAACTCAGTGTTCCTTCACCTGTCTAGTGACTGTAAAAAAAGTAAATGTAAATAAAAATTATAAAAGAAACAAAAAGAATGAAAGAAAAAAAGATAAAAAAATAAAATGAACTCAGTGGAGAGGGAAATATTAAAGTTCCTGAGAGGTAAGTTTGACAGTTAAAGCCCTCGCTACTTGCGAAAGACTTTATTGCAGAGTAGACAGTGTGGCCTTAAAGAGGCGAACAGATAACACTTCCCCCTGCCCCACTTCCTTGATGTTTGAGGAATGTTCTAATGAAAAGAATGTAGTTGGAGGCCGGGTGCAGTGGCTCACGCGTGTAATCTTAGCACTTGGGGAGGTTGAGGCAGGAAGATTACTTGAGCCCAGGAGTTCAAAACCAGCCTGGGCAACATAGTGAGACCCCATCTCTACACACAAAAAAATTTAACAATAAAAAAAGAGTGTAGTTGGAGGCTGAGGCAGGAGGATTGCATGAGATCAGGAGTTCGAGACCAGCCTGAGCAAGAGCAAGACCCTGTCTCTACTAAAAATAGAAAAAATTAGGCAGGCATGGTGGTGCACGCCTGTAGTTCCAGCTTCTTGGGAGGCTGAGGCAAGAGGATCCCTTGAGCCCAGGAGTTTGAGGTTGCCGTGAGCTGTGATGATGCCATGACACTCTAGCCCAGGCATCAGAATGAGACTCTGTCTCCAAAAAAAAAAAAGAAAAAAATGTAGTTGCTTGTTAAAGTTAGAAAACTTAGGGCTGCATCTTAACTTTACCTCTTACTAGAGTAGTGGCAAATCATGGAATCCATTATATTTAAATAACTTGTTCAGAATAGCTCAACCAGTGATTTTGGTGGCTATTTGTGGGATACCTAGAAGCTTCTCTACCAATCTCTTCCTCATCTACCTAGCTACCACATTTTACATGACTATGTCCTCTGGTCACATTTGACTGGCCTTGTACCTCATCACTTTGACAGTATTTAATTGGGCAGGGATGAGTACCGGATCTCAGCTCAGGCGATGAATATCTTTCTAAGTATTTTAGGGCCTAGGATGAAAGAGAAGGTTAATGAACCTGTAAGATATAAAATTAGTGACACATTAATGGCCATGTTTGCACCATGTGGAGAATGCTGCTCTAAAGTGAGAGAGAATGATGCTGGCATGAGAAAAAAAGCAGAAGCAAAAGACACATGGAGACAGACAGACACAGTCATAGCCATGGCGGCCTTAGAGTTCCTGAGGCCTAGTTGTATCGCTGACCCTCCTAGTTTGGTTATCTAACTGTTTTTTGGATTCTGTGAGCCACTTGCGCCAACTAATTCCTTTCAAGTCAAACTAGTTCGAGTTTGGTTTCCGTCCCTAAGCTAATACTTGAATTTGGATGAAGTATTCTGACTCTAACATTCCACATTCCTTCTCCAAGGCTAAAAATCTTGTGTCCAAAATTCCATCCCTTCCTAACTTGTGAGGGCTTGAGTGCACTATGTTTGTCCTCGCTGGCATCTTTGGTTCCTTTCCCTCATGTAGCTCCTTCTCCACATGGCTTGTGTCAGCCCCTCATCCCATGAAGCTCCCCACTTGGTTCTGTGGGCCCCACTAACTCAGCGGTGACTACAGCAGGCATAGGAATTTTGGTAGAGGGGAAGATTAGGAAGGTAGATTGGGACCAGATTGAGGAAAATTTGGACAACTAACTTACAGTTTGCTATTATAGTCTATATCAGAATTGTTTAATTGAACTTTCTGCAATTATGGAAACGCTCTACATCTGCACTGTTCAGTGGTATATAGCTGTTAGTCACATGTGGCTACTATGACTGAGAAGTTGAGTTTTAAATTTTATTTCACTTTAATCAATTTAAATTTAAATAGCCAAATGTGGCTATGGTCACCATTTTGGGTAGCATAGATCTAGATGTGGGGAGGTCATCAGAAGTTGTATTTCTCATTTTTTTTTTTTTTTGAAACACAGTTATCTTTGTTGCCCAGGCTAGAGTGCAGTGCCATCATAATAGCTCACTGCAACCTCAAACTCATGGGCTCAAGCAATCCTGCCTCAGCCTCCTGAGTAGCTGGGACCGCAGGTGCATGCCACCACATCGGGATAATTTTCTATTTTTTGTAGATTCGAGGGTCTTGTTCTTGCTTGTGCTGGTCTTGAACTCCTGGCCTCAAGCAATCCTACCACCTCAGCCACCGAGAGTGCTAGGATTACAGACATGAGCCATTTTGCCTGGCCTGTTTTTAAACTAATAGAATGTTATGTGTTAGGAAAAAACTGGAAACAATGTGGGCATTTGGATGGTAAGGACGAGGCAAGAAGAAAATCACTTTTTATTCTGGATGTTGATGCCTTTAACAGGGATGGGGAACATAGGAAGATGAGATAGTTTGGAACAGTAGATAAGAAGTTCAATACTGCAGAAATTGAGTTGAGATTATGGGATATATAGACAAAGATGTCTAATAGGCAGTTTTAAAAGTTTAGAACAGAGTGGAAGAAAAATCCAGGACTAGAAATATAAATTTTCGTAGTCATCTGTGTAGAGGTGATAAAGCCATAGAAATGTGTAATGTCTTTCCAAGAGGGAGTGTAGATCTTGAAGAAAAGAGAATGAAGGACAGGACCCCCAAAATGTCTGTATTTAAAGAGCCAGGCATCATGGTGCATGCAAGTGGTCCCAGCTACTCAAGAGGCTGAAATGGGAGGGTTCCTTGAGCCCAGAAGTTCAAGGCGTAGTGAGATCCTACTCAAAAAAAAAAAAGTGGAAAGAGGAAGAGGAGCAAGCAAAGGTGAGGTTCCTTACTATGTAATGTTTATAAGAAATCAGCACCTATAGAAGGCCAGGTGTGGTGGCTCATGCCTGTAATCCTAGCACTCTGGGAGGCTGACATAACAAGACCCTGTCTCTATAAAAAATAATAAAAAACAAAATTAGCAGGATGTGATACTGTGGCTGTAGTCTCAACTACTTGGGAGGCTGAGACAGGTAGATCATTTGAGCCCAGGAGTTCAAGGTTGCAGTGAGCTATGATGCCATTGCACTCCAGCCTGAGTGACAGAGCCAGACCTTGTCTTAAAAAAAAAAAAAGGAAGAAGGAAGAAAGGAAGGAAGGAAAGAAAGAAATCAGCACTTAACCCATGCAAGTAGTAGCATAAACCTTTTGCTTTAGGTGTAGTACTTGTCAGGAAGATTAGACATTTTACTCGAAAATCTAAGTATAGGCACATCATAGCTAATTTCAACTCCTTCACTATATGGACATGGCAGATAGTTATATCTGGTAAGCACTGGCCAAATGAAAACTATCATTGTGCTATCATAGTGCCATTTCTGCCTATAGAATCATAAATGTGTCTGTTAAATGTGGTTAATATTTGGTCAGATTGCCAATAAACATAGCAAACTCCAGTCCAGATAAATCAGCTTGTAAACCTGGGAGAGAGAATGCCTAGCCCTCTTTGGTGTTTTCTAGGTAATCAATAGTTAAAATTAATAAGGTGCTTAAATAGATTTCCTATATAAGATTAAGAAGAAATTGTTTTCGAGGACCTACATAAGATTTATTTTATTATGCCAGTGCATAGTCCTATGAATTTCCCCACACTGTGTCATACCTTTGTGCAAGAACATAGTGATTATGCTGCCTGCCAAGAAAGGCATGAGAGTAACTTGAAGGGCAGTGTGAGCGAGGAAGGTGAGACTGGAGAAGCTGCACTGGGAAGGAAGGTGAGCGGGAGAAGGAAATATGTGGAGAAATAAAGATAGGTTGAAGGTCAGGTCTGTGAAGTAAACAGTAGGTAGCAGATCAGCCTGTTGCCTAGCTCAGTGTCTGATACTTAATATGTGCAAAATAAATATTTGTTGAAGGAAAGAAGGAAGGAGTGATCGTTAGGGAGAAGGAAAATTGACCTGCAAGAAAGATGGAATCACTGACCTCAGTCTTCACATGTGTCTTCCTGACCTTGAGTTCCTGACCCGAGGTTTATTGTTAAAACATATATTTATTGTTTTAACAATGAATTTATTGTTAAAACATACATTAGGTAGCTTATATTTGAACTCGTAATCATTGTTCAATCAATGAATTGGAGGGAGGGGGCATACTCTGCTATTTAGAGATATGATGAATATACCTGAGTACTTAGAAGTTTAATTTCTTTTTGTCTTAAAGACTGTAACAGAGTAAATGTGACCGTATCTAGCCCCTGAATATCCTGGCCTGGGTGATGTGGGTGAGGACTTTCGTATGAGCTGACAGAAGTGTGCATTTATTTTCTCTGTAAGAAAGGTCTTCGGGTAAGATGATCTAGAATGGTGCGAAGCAGGATGGGGAGTTTAAAATTATTTCCAATATGGGAATATAAATGGAGATGTAAGATTTTAATATACAAAACTTACTCTGTATAATTTCCAAGTTTCTTCTTTTTTTATTCAAACCCTCTGAAATATGAATGTCTGTAACTTAGTTTATAGAATTTTATGTGATTTTTTTTTACTTAAATATTATACTGACCTCACATCTGATAGTGAAAACAGATTTTAGAATATGAAAAGATACAGAGCCTTAGAGGTTGTATTTTCAATTTCCTTTGAAGTAACATATGTTTACAACACAATTTAATTTTTACCCTAATCTGTGTCATTGTTGGCATATCTCTGTATTCATGTAAGTGTCACACGTGTTTGCAAAGGAAAAGTTTGAGTAAGAAAAAGCTCTGGGATCTATCTCATTCAGTATCTATTTGCATATCTATACGATACTGTTTAGACACTGGAGATACAACACTGAACATAGCACAGAATGCTTCGTGACATCTCCTAGAGCTGTTGTCAAGAAATGCTTTCATAACACAACTTGGATGTCTCTAAAATAGAAAAAAAAGTATATGAAAAATAAGAAAATTAATTAATAAATTTTAAAAAAAAGAAAAGAAAAAGTACTGTAGTCATCTAGGAGAGTTTTACTTACAGGGAAGTGAGATATAAATTTACAAGCGAAGACAGGGATTGTTGTTTGGCTTTTGTCTCTTGTATTCACTCCTATATCCCCAGATCCCAAAATAGTGATTGGCTTATTATAAGAATTCAGTAAATATATGTTATTGATTGAAGTGTTTATTGTTTTGAATTTGTATAATCATAGACATCTACTTGGGTAAATTATTTTCATATCTAGCTAGTTGAAAATTTTTGTATATCAGTTGCTTTATTTTTAATGTTACCTACTTTTTGTTTCTACTTGTACCACACTTTAGGATATTGGAAAAGCTTATTAATATTGATAATTAGTCATATGGTTATCTGATATTGCAAATAATAGATTTGGAAAGGAACTTAAGAGGCCATCTTTTGTTCAGCTGGCTGCCTAGGAAAACTTGAGTAAGATGATTAGGTATATATATTTAATTAATCATTTAAAAAACTAGGACAGCATAATTGGGTTCCCTCTTGAGAAAATGGAGAAAGGTACTTAATTAACCCTAGATGTATAAAGGGACTAACCTGAAAAATTTAGAACTTCTGTGTGAGAAAGTGAAACAAAAATAGAGCACAACTAAGCTGCTCTTTGTTGATATCAGAAATGGGCCTGTCATTCATTTTGGCATTGAAGCATAGCCTCCTATCTCAGGGGGCAGGACCAGGACATTTTTTCCCTCCCACAAGAGCTGGACAGTTATTACAGGTTCAAAAAGCCCCGACCAGTTTTTCAAGAGTTTCTCCTCCTTTCCCCCCCCTGAAACTCATGCTGCTTTTGCTCTGCTTGCAAGATGCCTTAAGGTCTCCTGCTTTGTGACTGCTTTGGAACCAGCAAATACCCTGACATGTATAATTCGAATTATACAGGTTACATGCGTAAGTTTAATCTTATTTTTTAGTTAGTTGAAATTCAAGTGATATTTAGAAAAATGGTAACTTAGAGTTAGGCATTTTGTCATTTTGCCACTTTTACTTCAAGCATTTTTCTTACAAAAAAAAATCCTTTTAGTTTAATAAGAAAGCAAGGTTCTACACAGAAAAGCCCCTTCACCTCTTAAGACCTGCACTTTCAGTTTCTGTTGAAGTGGCTTGGTTATAGACAGTATTCATGTGTCTTTTGAAAGCCAGTTAACTAAACAGTTTTCTTGAGCATCTTTTTAGTTTTACTGAGAAGTATTTTACATTGAGCTTTTCTGAGCTCGATTGCTTACGTCTGACACAGTCTCAAGTTTCCAGTGAATGGTAACAAAGACTGTAGAGTGTTGTTGGTACTGCAGTGAGAGGCATGCTTCCTTAGACCAGGTAAGAGAGATCAGTTTGTTTCTTACTGCCGGGTGAGTTTTTACAGCGTTTATTTTATATTCTTTATACAGCAGCAATATTAAATTGATAAATAGCCAGGAGCACGGTGATTTCAAGACGTTCTTCCTTGTTGCAGACAGAAAAACTACAGGGTATGGGGGTTGGGGTGGGTGGGGGGGAGGGGTAGAGTTAGCTTAGTTTATCACTCAATTACTTATATAAATTAATTAAAATGTGAAAATAGTTCTGGAGCTCAGTTTTCTTCATTCAAGAACTAAAGCAGTTGAGGAAATTAATAATTTAAAAGATATTCATAGTTATTACTTGTGAAAGCAATTCAAATGATAGTTTTTACTTGCATTTTTTTCCTTGTAGTTAATAAAATAAGCTTTGCCCTTAACTGAACATTTTTTCCATTTATGAAAACTTTTAAATTGTCACCAGCAAAATATGCTCCTTCAGGATCTTTAGAAATCAACCTGACACTTGAAAAATATTTCAGCTTTTATAGCTGTTTCATTCCTTTTCTTTTCTAGTACATTTTTCTTAAAAGTATTTGTGCTTTGAAAATGTCAGCTGTATTCTAATGAAGCTTAGGCATTGTTTGCTCATAAAGGGGCCGGTGCATTCCACTGCTTTATGGTTTATTATGAGGCACAGTGTGAGAGTGTGGGTGGCACCATTTGGTGTCTGCCTCTTGGGGTAGTGACTGCCATTATGTTAGCCTTGGATTGGCAAAGAAAATATAGCATAGGAGATGCAATGTGAATCTGGATACTGTGAAGAAAATCTTATCCCTAAACAATTCTTAATGAGCCCGGAATGTGTGACAACTTAATTGGGTTGATCATTTCAAGTATACCCTTGAAGTTTGCATTTTAGTTACAATTTATATTCTATCAGGCACATGTCTTGTTTTTTGATGTATACAGCATTTAGTTATTCTTTGAACTTCCATGAGGAAGTGAATGTTTCTAAGTAAACTATGAAATTTTAAATAAATGCAATAAAATTTTAAATAATACATTTACCTAAAAAGTTTTAAGAAATTTGGTCTGGGTGGGGAGGAGGAGTGGGAGAGAGGAGGTCAGGCGGTCTTTCTTTCAGTTAGCAAAGCCCTGATGAAGAAAAAAAAGCAACAGATGTTTCTTCTGTTACAATTGAGGTTGTTTCATTCAAAACTCACAGTAGCTGGAATGGAGAGGGGAGGTCATAAATCTGACTTAATCAGTGAATAAATAAAACTTTGCATTTAAAATTTATTTATATTCAAGATTTGAGAATTAGTATAATGTAACAAAATGAGTAATATAACTTTTAAAGAGGCTTTTTTATCTTCAAAAATTGTGTGTAGTTAATAAAAATATTAGTTAATTTTAGTGAATTTAAATTATGAAAAAAATCAATAATTAAATTATAAAATATTTTTTAAAAGCCCAAGCTATATAATACATAGAGGAAATACTTAGGTTGCAAGAGTTTGTGATTGTCCAATAGGTACAAAGACTCAAAATGAAATTGAAATATGAAACAATAGTTGCATATGTTGATAGATCATTTCATCTTCTGTGAGAAGCACAAGACTTATTCCTAAGACTTTTGAATAAGAAATGTGGGAGAAATATTTTGGATTTAATTGAAATGATATGTTGCAGTTTGCCTCTAAAAAGAAAGATAATCTTAGATTGGTTGCTAATGAAAAGAGGAGAATGTCTCCTGGAAATAGTAGGAAGGAAGAGCTTTAGAAGCAAGATGCATATAATGAAAACAAAATTTTAAAAAATAGTTTTGAATTTGTGGCATTCATAATAAGTAAAGTTGAAACCTTTCCTTTTACAGGTAACACAAAGAAGTTCTGTGCTCTTGTATAATGTGCAATATGCATTTATACATTTGCATTTCTTAAAGTTAGCTCTTGAAAAATCAGTGCTGAGCACCAGATCTTTAACATACGAAGCATTTATCAAATATTTGCCATACCCTACACTGTAAAATTAGTAGTAATTTATAATAGCTAAGAAATTCTTTAAGCTATAGTATAAAAGTTGTGTATGGATCAAATATTATACAATTTTCTAAATATTTAATTGGTCTAAGCAGAAGACTAGAAAATATATCAACATTCAAGGAGATTTCTGAAAATTTCTCTTGCTCTTAGCTAGGATATGTGGGCTTCCCTGAAGATGTTCTTTTCTTCAACTAAATGATTATAGAATTTAGAGATTTTGAAGTTGATTGGATCATTATTTTAATCAAGATTCTAAAATTGATCTATGTACATTTTGCTTTTTTTAAAAAAATAGCAACATGTAGCAGTTGGGTTTTTTGCCATTCTTCTGAGATAAGAAAAATAACTTACATAGAGTTTTAAATGGATTTACAAAATATAGATTTGCCTAACGTAAGACCTTTCACAACTTTGATCAAAGACTATAAATTTTGATGGAAGAAACAGCTTTAAAAAAAAGTTGGTGACTCCACAGCATCACAGATTATAGTTATCAAAAATAGGTATCACTTACAATTATACACAGACATGACAGTAAGTTACACAGAAAACAGCAGCATCAATACAGAAATAGTTGAGACTCCTAACTCTTCAAGTTAAGAAATTAAATCAGTTGAATTACTTTAGGATGAATTCACACTATCTCTGTAGATGTAAATTATGGGGTCATTGAATGTATGTTCAAATTATGGTAGAGAAGAGCACATTCGTTTTTATTATAGTGTAGATAAATACTCTATATGATAAACCAGTTGTTATTATGCTGTAGATTTATACTCTGTATATGAGAAACAAAACCAGTTTGAGTTTGTTACCTAAATATTGGTTGGCAGTGTCTGAATTTTAAAAAAAAAGCTGTTGCTGCCATCTAGACGTAATTCCTTAATTAATTATCCTTAATATCTAGTAAACACTTCTATCCACAATTGAGTTCGCTATTTAAAATGTACACTGAAGGACTTCAGTGTGAGGTACCTGTGGTTCTTGTCTTATATATGAACTCTTTTTTTTTTTTTAGCACAAAACTGACATCTTAGGAGAATCTGTCTTAACAACTATTCATTGTTCCCCAAGTTGGGATACCCAGAGAGTAACTGATTTAGCCCTTCTCTCTGCTTTACAGGGCAATTAGAAATAATTAATAGCTACCTAGACATTTCTCTTCTCTGTGTGGGTTAAGAGGGAAGATTTGCCTGATGCCTATAATTTTTCTGAAAGGAAAACCTTTTACATTGTTGTTTAGGAGCAGGAGGAAAAGTATGAGTACTTTGCTTTGAGTATGAGTAAACATAACGTTTCTTCTCAGTTTCAACCAACCGGTTTTTAAATGAATTTTTAGATGATAACTCTAAAGCTGGAGACTATGAGCAGGGAACTTTGTTTTTGGCACTTTGCTCACTTGCAGTGAAACTTTGGCAACTCTCCTTGGCAGTTTCTCTGAAAGAAAGGTGAAGAGACCACTAACTGAGCACTTACTGTGTGCCAAGTAGAAACAGAAGAACTTATTTATAAAAGTTTTCAAAACTCTTTTAATGGATAAGTTTTTTATACAAATAGGTTTTGTCATTTCATTGGTATCTAACTTTAAGATTTCTTATACTTCACAATCTGATTTAAATGTAGCTTCAGTAATAGTCCTCAAGTGGCATATATTGTTGAAATAAGAATATCAATAACTTACCACAGTTTTGAGTAAGCTACTTAGTATAGTATTATGGAACAATGGTCCCTTTTTAATTTGTGAACTGCTTTGAAACTCTAATTCATGGGCAGTCCTTGGTCTGTTTGAGTTTGTGTCCTAAATTTTTGAATTTATTTTAAGAAAAATTTTTAAGTCAAGGTCTGTCTGTAGCCATTGTCACCTCTTATAAATATTAGAAAAATATCTCAGTCGACTGTAAATTTAAATGGATTTACTGTCTGGTTACCATCTCAGAGGGATTGTGAGCATCTGAGAATGATTTCCAATTAAGTATTCTTGGGTACTTTAGTACTCATGAATTCTGATCCTTGTGGTTACACCCAGCTGCCTTGATCAACCCTAGCCATTCAGTGGCTGTTGGTATGAGATAAAATGTGCTGCGTCCTGCTCATTCTCTTTTACTAGGCCTGTAAACAACGTCTTTGTGCCATCTGGTGGGTGTATATTGGCTGTGGTGACGGTGCTAGAAGCAGGGCTAAACATTGAAAATGGGCTAAACATTGAAAAAATATAACACTTAAGAACAGAGACTGATGAAATAAGGGTCACTCAGCCCTTTCTCTTTTTAAAATGAAAATAGAGATAAGTTCAGTGTAGTAAAGTCTACTTAAATTTGGTTACTTCCTCAATTTGAACAAAGAGAAAAGGGACTTGAAGCAGTATTTCTTCCCAGTCTTGCTTGATCATAAGAATCACTTGATGCACTTGTTAAAAATGCGGACTCCCCACCTAGTTTCCGATTCTTTATGTGTCCTCTTTATGTGTCTGGGGGAGCTCAGGTATGTGTGTTTTGTAAGAGAGAAGACCTCTGCCCACCTTGTGATGTATCTTATGACCAGGCATGTTTGGGAAGAACTGCTGTGA